CCTCTTCCTTCTCTCCTGCTGCTCTTCTCCCTAGAGGCTAGTCTCTCCCCTCCCCTTTCTACTTTTTTTGTTTGTGGACTATTTTCTTTTCTTTTTTATTATTTTTATTTTAGAAACAATCTTATTTTACTTATCAATTCCCCCATTCCCTCACCCACGGGGGATCATCAAAGTCTGCCACATCATTTGGGGGATGTGTATATGGGATGCAGAAGTATCCCTCCATAGGGAATGGGCTCCCAAAGTCCATTTGTGCATTAGGGATAATCATTGGCTCCACTGTTAGAGGTCTCATAGACTTTCCAGGCCTCCTAGCTGGCACCCACACTCAGAGGGCTTGGTTCGGTCCAATGCTGTTTCCGCAGCTTTATGACTAGGGTCTCCATGCTCTCACTAGGTCAGTTCCTAGGGATTTGAGAGCTTAATGCTTGCACGTTTTGTCCAAAGCCTACTATCAAAATGATATCTTACTGAGAAGTTAGCAAAGTATTTGTGTTTTTTTAAAAAATTCATTCAATGTACATTTTATTTTTATAAAATGTTATAGCTCATGGCAATTAAGGTAGTCATGTATTCATTTAAATAGGGATAGGAGAATGCAAGTCTACCCATTTAGGCAGATGGAGATTTACAGAGCAATACTATCTTTTCGACCATGCAGTATGATCTAAATATAAATATATCATAATATATGAATTGAAAGATAAATTATAATGTATGATGTAAAAGATACATTTAAAAGATGTGTCAGTGCCACAATCCTCACACATAAATGAAGGAGAGGATGTAATTATATCACTAGACCCAAGATAAATGATAAATGGGTGTTAATTGGGGGACAATTACACAGAAAAATATAAAGAACTGCCGGAGCATTTCCCTGCTCTTCCTGCTAGATCCACTGACCCAACAGAAAGAGTGCACAAAGGAAAGCCATGCCTTTAGCTCCTCTCTTTCTACTTCCATCTGCCTGAAGCCACACCCAAAAGGGTGTGGCCACCGTTTCAGGTCCACAGAGAAGATGCCTACACATAAAAGGACATAGAACACAAATACAAAAAATAAAATTGGGAAACTCACCTATTCACACTGTGAATGATGTTCTTAAATGAATAGCTATTCTGAGCTATTCTTACCTCAGTGTAAGGCTAATGGGGATGTCCTTCTGTATATATGTTACTCTTGTTGGTTGATGATTAAAACATGGATTGGCCAGGCAGAAAGATAGGCAGGGCTAGGGGACATAGAGAATTCTGGGAAAGTTAGGCAGGAGATCCTACCAGAGAGGGTCACCATGTAGCGGAGGAAGGAGTAAGAAGTCTGGACCATTTTCTGGTAAGATAAGACCACGTGGAAATACTTTGATTAATAGAAATGGGTTAATAATTTAGAGAGAGAGCCAGACAATAAGAAGCCCAAGCCATCAGCCAACAGTTTCATAATTAATACAGGGTCCCTGTGTTTATTTGGGACCAGGCAAGAAAGAAACCAAAAGTAACAAATTGGAAGTAAGGCTTCTTTGCCTGTGAGCAAGCTTTCTCAGAGAAAGGCCACAGCTGTTTTTATGAAATACCAGAAAGAAGTTAACTAGCCAAGTCTGCTGTCTCAAGGCTATGGCATTACTGTACAGAATTTCATTTTTAACCTTTAGTGTGTGTGTGTGTGTGTGTGTGTGTGTGTGTGTGTGTGTGTGCTCACATTTTGATGTGTGCAGTAAGTGTTGAGGCCAAAATAGAGAATCAGATCCTTTGGAACTGGAGTCACAGGAGACACAACCATGGTTTCTAGCAATGTAACCTGTGTCCAATGCAGCAATACTCAGTGCTCTTAATTGCAACAATACCCAGTGCTCTTAATCACTAAGCTCACTTGCTAACCACATTTTTATTTAAAATTTATCTGCTAAATAAATGAATGGAAAAAAAGAAGGAGGGAAGCATGCACGTGGAGGCTCTCTTTCACCTGACTGAGCTGACTGGGAAGCCTTTCTGGGTATGTCCTGCTCAGGTGCAAACCTGGTCACTGGCTCCCTTCTGTGAACATTTTTCCCCAATAACTACCAGTTATCAACCTAAAAAAAATAAAATAAAATTTATCTTTATACATTTTAATTAAAATATATTGCATCATTTTCCCCTTTTCTTTCCCAAAGTTTTCCCTTCTTATTTATGTTAAGTATGTGTAAGTTAAGTATGTGCAAATATATGAATAAAATCTACTGAGTCCATAAAAAGAAAATTCTAAATAGTAATTAAAATAATTCAGGGAGCCTAGTATCAAATGTCATGTATAGAAATTCATATCCATCCTCCATAACCCTGGTCCCCTTCTGCTTAAACAGCCAAAGAACTGGCCATAGGAAGGAAGCTCTGAGCTATACTAATCAGAGTTTGATTTAATAGGATTAGTAACTTTTCCTTCTCATTGTGTTTTCCCATCTTTTAAAATCAAATAGAAAACCCTCGGCGCAGATGATACCATGTTGGCCAAGGATCCTGCATCTGGCATCTGTACTCTTCTGTATGACAGCGCACCCAGTGGCAGATTTGGCACCATGACCTATCTCTCCAAAGCAGCTGCCACCTATGTGCAGGAGTTTCTGCCACACAGCCTCTGTGCCATGCAGTGAGGGCTATGGGTTCTGGCTGCTGGAAGACTTTCAACATCTGGTCACTGTCTTGGTTGGTTTGCATGGAACTGAAATGTTAGCAACTGACCACTCCCCATACCCCTTTCCTGCCCATCCCTCCCAAGAAGAGAGAACTTTGCTGATAATCTCACTACTTTTGAAGAAAAGAATTCCTTACTTGGAAACTTGCCTCCAGTGTGAAAGTTCAACCAGTCTACAATCACTATCCTTACTTTTATGGTTCAGAAAAGTCTGCATGTGTTTTTACTATGTAGAGCTGTTACCAACTTAGTTTTCTAACTCCTATTGGGGAGCAGGTATTAATAAGTTATTTTGAAGCTCAATTTTCTTATTTCTGGGCTTTCTTTCTTCTTTTTGTGTGTGAGTGGTGGGTCTTTATTGGACCATTATTTCAAGAGCATAGATGCTAAGTTGTTGGATTTTATGCTGCTGTAAATTGGAAATGTCTACTTTAAGTGCCTTTACTTAGGAAAAGCCAGCATCAGATCATGGCTTCCTTCTTCACTCAAAGGTTGCTTCATATTGAGTGGTGAAATAGTTTCTTTATAGAAGTATTGCCATTCCCTGTTGTTCTTTCTGTATCTGCCCATTGCCTACTCTGTGGTGAAATATTAAAAAATTTAAGCTCACATGTAAGTTTAAGGATTCCTGTGTTAATACTTCAAGTCACATTTTATGGGAACAGATGCTACCAGGCACATATTTGAGAACACCTGGAATTACCCAGAGAAATGGAGCCAGGAGCCCAATTCCAAAGAGGAAGGGAAAGGAAAGAAGTTACGGAGGTGTGCTTTACACACAGGGAGGCAAGAGCCCACCAGAGGTAGGTAGGGTGCTTGTGGACAGTTTGAACATAAAATCCTTGCCTCTGGAGCATAGCCCACATGCAACACAGAGAGTAACTGAAGCCTGTCTTGAGCAGAGAGAAATCCAGCAGTCTGGTCTGTGGCTGCTCTACAAATCACCCCTTTCCTGAACTTTCATTTTCCATCTTACATATTCACTCCCCGCCACTCCCAAGCACCCCTTCTTAGCTCCCTCCTTTCCCACATCTATTCTTCACTTCTTTCACTTACATTTGATTTCACTTCGTAATTCAGGTACTTAATCCTTTAATCTTGGTATTTGTGGCCAAATATCTATTGTTATACCTCTCTCTCTCTCTCTCTCTCTCTCTCTCTCTCTCTCTCTCTCTTGTCTGTCTGTCGGTACATTTAATGGATTGAATAAACATGTAGGTAATATTGCAAACCAAGCCTGATCATACTCACTGCTAATCTGAGAACTTGAGAAGCTGAGGCAGGAGGATTGTGAGTTCAAAGCCAGCCTGGGCTACCTAGCAAGCTCCAGGCAAGCCTGAGTATGAGACCCTGTCTGAAAAACATTTTAAAGCATGTTGTGTGTGAGAAAGCCATGCAGCTAGCGTCAGGCTGACACACAAAGGGTAGCAGAAATACACTTTCCATCCCATTCTCTGGTTCCATGTATCGGTAGCCTGGCTTAGCAGAGGCTTCTCCTGATTTTCCTTATTTCTACCCAGATAATTTCCCACTTAACTCCTCTTTCCCTCAGATTTTTAAGGGTTTTCTTCCAGAACAGAAATGAGTATGATGGGGCTAGCGAGGTCAAAACAGTCACAGAATCAGATATAGTCTTCAGAGCACACCAGCTAAGCACAGTGACTTAGCAAACTGGTGGTAGAAAGAAGCAAAGGGCAGGTGGGCCACCTTTTTCCTCTCATCAGCCATGGGAACACACAATGAGTAGCTCTCTGAATGCATGGTTTGCTGGTCACTTTTGAGGAGAACATACAACCTGTTCTGTAACCTGTTTATCTTTTCACAGCCTGTCAGTGTACCCCGGTCACAGGAAGTACACCCAGCACTATGGGTGGGAGCTGCTACTCCTTCTGGGACCTATTTTCTTGAATTGACTCTGATGCCTGCATTTCTCTGGGGTTGCTGACTTGTCCGTGCATGTAATGCCCAGTAGGTGATATTTAATTTCTAAAGTAACTTTTTACAAAACATTACTCATGTTTTGTTCCTTTTTGTTGTTGTTTTTTTTTCAACACAGGATTTCTCTGTGTAACAGCTCTGGCTGTTTTGGAACTCATTCTGTTGACCAGGCTGGCTTTGAGCTCACAGAGATCTGCCTGTCTCTGCTTCCCGAGTTCTGGGATTAAAGGCATACACCACCATTACCTGGCCAAGTATTTTGTTCATTTTAAGAGTGTTAATATGAAGAAAAAACATGCTGGAACTTTTTTTTAAGAACATAATGTTTTAATGTTAGAATAAAGAATAAGACTTTCCTATGTCTGGTGTCACTGCACAAAACCTTATATATGTTTTGTGATTGAAACTAATTCATTACTTTCACATAATATGTTCGCTTATGTAGTATACTCAAAGTTCATTAACTGGGTCAAATTAGAGTAACATTTATATACCGTACATTATTGTACCTCACATATATAAAAATGCGGGTTTAGTGCTTTAGACAGTTTACTAAAAATATAAGATGGATCTTTACTCCATTCCAACTCTCTAAGTGGTGTTTCTAAACTACTGGAAAGAACTTAAAATAGTTGTTCTCCTAAGTATTTTCAATATTTCACATAATATTGTTTAAAATACACACTGGCAATTTCTATAACAAAAGATAACTTAATCCCGCAACAACAGTGCCTCTGCATCCCCTGCCTAGATAGTTTAGTTTTACTATATTCTGAGAATTTGATGCAAATGATATGGCAAAAGTTGTCACCTTTAGCCATAGTTAACAGAAGTGTGAATGTATATGTGTGTGCATGTGCACATGCATTCCCAAGTAGTCAGGTGAATGTGTGTCATGCTGGTACATATGCACATTGAGGCCAAGGGTCAGCTCTGGGTATCACTCCTCAGAAGCTCTCCACTTTATCTGTTTGGAGTGGAGTCCATGACTGGATCTGGGACTCACCAGTTAGACTAGGCTGACTGGTCAGTGAGCCTCAAGGATCATTCTGCCTAGGTCCCCAGCACTGAGACAGGTAACAAGCATGTGCCAGTACCATGCCCTGCTTGTTCTATGGGGATCAAACTCAGGTCCTCATGCCTACATGACAAGTCTTTACTCACCAAGCCATCTCCCCAGCCCCTTAGTCTTTACTTTTTGTCCAACTGAAGTAACTGCAGATCTTGGTTTGCTCAGTAGAGCCGTTATTTATGCTTCTTTTCCTGGCATAATTATTAATACCACTTTCTGTCACTCTCATAAGTGTTCTAGGGTCGATGATATGACCACCTTGTATCTAGTAGAAGTCTGATTTCTTTTAAGGCTGTGCCTCAAAGCCAAGAATCTGACCTCAAATCACTAGAAGTACTTTACATCAGTGAATTTAGGATAACAGTTAAACTTGGCACACAAAGAGTGGTTGACAAATAGTATGCACAAAGAAGCTAAATTTATACAATGGAAAAAAGAAAGCATCTTCAACTAACGGTGCTGGCATAACTGGATTCGGACATGTAGAAGATTGCAGATTGATGCATATCTATTGCCATGCACTAAACTTAAATCCAAATGGATAAATGACCTCAACATAAATTCAGCCACACTGAACCTCCTAGAAGAGAAGTTAGGTGGCACCCTTGAACAAATTGGTACAGGACACCACCACTTTCTGAACATAACACCAGTAGCTCAAACATTGAGCTCGACAATTAATAAATGGGACCTCCTGAAACTGAGAAGATTCTGTAAAGCAAAGGACACAGTCAGCAAGACAAAACACCAGCCCACAGAATGGGAAAACCCTATTCACCAACCCCACATCTGACAGAGGGATGGTCACCAGAATATACAATGAACACAAGAAGTTAGCCACCAAAACACCAAAGAACGCAATTAAAAGATGGAGTGCAGAAATAAATAGAGAATTCTCAACAGAGGAATTCAAAATGGCTGAAAGACACTTGAGAAGGTGCACAATATCCTTAGCCATCAGGGAAATGCAACTCAAAACCACTCTTGAGATACCATCTTACTCCTGTCAGAATGGCTAAAATCAATAAAACCAATGACAATCAATGCTGGAGAGGATGTGGAGTGCAAACTTGTAAGACTACTTTGGAAATCAATATGGTGGTTTCTCAGGCCTTCTCAGGAAAATGGGAATTAGTCTACCTCAAGACCCAGCAATCCCTCTCTTGGGCATATACCCAAAGAATGCACACTCATACAATAAGGACATACGTTCAACTGTTCATATCAGCATTATTTGTAATAGCCAGAACCTGGAAACAACCTAGATGCCCCTCTACTGAAGAATGGATAGAGAAAAAGTGGTATATTTACACAATGAAGTACGACTCAGCGGGAAAGAACAATGGAATCTTGAAATTCGCAAGCAAATGGATGGAACTAGAAGAAACCATTCTCAGTGAGGTAACCCAAACACAAAAAGATAAACATGGTATGTACTCACACATTTTTGATTTTTAGACATAGAGCAAAGGATCACTAGCCTACATTCCACACTGCCAGAGGAGCTAGGAAACAAGGAGGACCCCAGAAGAAGATTGCATAGCCCCTCCAAGAAGGGGATGGGGACAAGAACCCCTGACCAAATTGGAGCCTGGGGGCAGGGAGAGGAAGGAGAGTCTTCCTCCAGTTGCTGTTTGAAGTAGAAACAGACACCCATAGCTAAGTACTGAACCGTACTACTGGAATTGAGTTGTGGAGAGGGAGGAGGGTTGAGCAAAGGAGCCAAGATGGGAGTGGAGAGACCTGCAGAAACAGTTGACCTGACCTACTGATAGAATGGAGACCCTAATCATAAAGCTGGGGAAACAGCATTGGACCA